ATCTTCTGTCTCCATTTATCTGTTTACTACAGTGTGTTGATTTCATGTTAATTTGGATTTAAAAACATTTCAATTAGTGGAAAATATTGCAGGGGGGAATATAAGTCTAATCAACCAAAACTTTTGCGACCCCCAAACAGTACCTCTGCGGACCCCCTAGGGGTCGCGGACCCCCTGTTGAAGACCTCTGACTTATATTTTTAAGTATTTATTTATGTGCATGTTATAATATTTTTGTCTGCTTTATTCTTCCTTTGTATTTTTTTACCCTAGTTATTTCTTCGCCTTATTTATTTCTGTCTGCCCTTTTTTACACTGTATGATTTAATTTCTACTTACATTTATTTGTTTATTGTATTTATGGTGGCAATTAATTGTATGCTTATTTATTTATTCAGCATTTATTTATTTCTGTATTTATTTTTAAATATGGCAGAGTTGGTCCTCCATAGACATCCCACTCCTGATGAATACATGTAATGTAAATCCCTTTATTGTCCCACAATGGGGAAATCCACTCTCTGCATTTAAAAGATGCCCTTGGGGAGCAGTGGGCTGCCATTGTGTGGGGTTAAGGGTCTTGGTCAGAGATGCACAGTGCAGGCTGTGGGGATCAAACCGGGTATTTGCAACCTCAGAGCACAAGCTCACTGCTCTAACCACTAGGCCAACACAAAAGGAGTTCAATATGACGTTACTCCCCGCTCTGCAGCTAGAACAGCTTCACCTCTTCTGGGACAGATGTCCAAAAGGTTTAGGCCTGTTTATGGGAATTTTTGATCATTCTTCCAGAATCTCATTTGTGAAGTCTGACCCATAGAGGCTGAAGAAGTCCTGGCTCCAAGTCTCCACTCTAATTCATCCCAAAGATGTTCTATATGGCCAGTCAAGTTCATCCACACCAGACTCTGCCATCAGCGTCTTTGTGTTCCCACAAATTTGGGAGAATGCGATTGTCTAAAATGTCTTGGTATGATGAAGCATTCAGAGTTCCTTTAACTGGAAACAAGGGGCAAAGCCCCGCTCCCCCAAACTCTAGACTTAACACAATGCAGTCAGAGACACCGTTCTCCCACTAATCCAAGACTCGACCGTCAGATTTCCAAATGGAGAAGAACGATTCGTCCCTTCAGAGAAGGCGTCTCCCCTGCTCTGGAGTTTAGTGGTGGTGGCTTTACACATCTGCCTTCAACACTTTGCATTGCACTTAGTGATGCATGGATTGGATGCAGTTGCTTGATTTTACACACCTGTGAGCCATGGAAGTAACCGGAACACCTGATTCCAGTAATTTGGATGGGTGAGCAAATGCCTTTGGCAAATAGTTGTTCTATGTTCCTCTTATAACTGGTGGGATAAACCTTAGGAACGTAATAGGAGGACCTAGATGACTCTTCCAGAATCTGTTAAAACACATCTGTCTGTATATATATTTTTTGTTTTTTTAATTTCCTCAAAATGTCAGGAAAAGGTAATCTTGTTGGCTGCATTAGTGTGGTTTTATATTATTATACAAACTAACTTTATTTCAGCCTGACCAACTGTTTGGGTTCTTTCACATTTTTCTTCCTCTAAATTTCACTTTTGGAGATTTGCTTCCTTTGGGCTGGATTTTTATCCTCCCAGGAATCCTATCTAATGCAGGATTCTAAGTTAATTGGAAGATTAATTAAGCTGTTGTGGTTTATCTTCTCCCAAATCAGGTGATTCTTCCCCGTGCTTAGGAAGCAGTTCTTCTGTAGTAGTAGACTTTTTTTCTGGGCTGGAACAGAAACTGCTTTAATGATGAAAGCTCTTCTTGTTCCCAGATTCTTCCATTAAATCAATCAAATTGCAAGAAAAACACAAAAATAGCAAGCAGTCCCTGATTAGATGCAACACTTGACTTAGTTTGAGGGGGACAGCTGTATCCACAGCTTGTCAGCACATAACACCCCCTAATGGGCTGTTTGTGTCATTGCAGCGATGCGTTTGTCAAGTTTTCAATCTGTGAACAGCTAAACAGCAACTGGTTTGTTAAAATTTCACATGATCTGTTTCTGAAATAATGGGAAATCTACGGAAGAGGATTAGGGCCACTGAAAAAAAAAAAGTTAACTGATTTTTAAATTTTATTTCAGTTTAACATGGGAAAAAGGGAAAAAGTCAGAATTCAGTCAGAATTCTGAGATTAAAGTCAGAATTCTGAGATTAAAGTCAGAATACTGACTTTTTTCCCCATACTATACTGAAATAAAATTTAAAAAATCAGTTAACTTTTTTTTTTTCTTTTCAGTGGCCCTAATCCTCTTCCGTAGAAATCACCTGGGTGGATAAGAGGTTAGCTTTCAGCACTTAAAGTCTGGCCGTACTGTGTTAAACTTACTCGCAAACAAAGCTCCCCTGTGGTATGTCCTGCAGAGCCCGAACACCCCAGCCTTTTTTACTGGTTCTGAACACCTGCAGTCTGGTTCTAAAGGAGTGAAAACATTTTAAGCATAAAGGTTTCCATCTCGCTCTCTTAAAAAAAAAAAACTATCTATGCTTCTTCCAAGTTACCTGAGTCCGTTTTGTACGACGCGGTTCTTGCAGGTTCTCCAGCAGGAACAAGCATGGTTACACTCAAAGATGAGAGGAGGCTCCTCACAGCAGAACTCAGGCAGAAGGCAGCCCCTCTACTCATCCATAAACACAGAAGAAGATAGAGGTCAGGATGTGCAATGCGCAGGACTTTTTCCTGCCAAGCAGCCATGTTTTCTTTTTATATTTCGAGGTGGTCTTCAGGATTTTTTAAAGAACCTTTTTTAAGTATTTCTTTAGACCATTGCTTACTTTCCCTCCTTGTGCAATCAGGACAGAATAAAAAAATATTTAGACCTAATGTGGCATTTGATATATACTTCTGAAGTCAGAGCTGTGATCTGGAAGTGGTCGTTATTCTAGATGGGAACCATTCATGGTCAATGGGTTAAGGAGGAGCATAACGGGTTTAAATTTGAACTGCTGACATTGAGTGGTGCCAATATTCAGACCTAAAAGGTCTGTAAATATTTCAACTTCTATGCCTAGAGGTGTTTCCATACGTACCATCAAAGGAACATTGTTGCAAAGACTGTGGTGTGTTCACAACAGACCCGTTGTGAGCATCAGGGCATCTGGTTTACATGCAAAGATTATGAGAGACAGCTTTAAAGGTATAGAGCAGGGATCCTCAAACTTTTTCCTGTGAGGTCCACATAACTTTGCCCTTCTCTGATGGGGGGCCAGGGTCAGTTTGTAAGAGTGCCTAAATTTATGACAGGATTTATGTCTTTATGACAGGATTCATAGTGTCTCTACAGGTTATATTCTTTGAATACAGCCACCGCCACTTGACAGATGAGACAGCCTTTTCTTTGCAATGAACAAAAAAATAATCGTTTGTCCAGGTTAAATGACCTGCATTCTGAATAAATTTTTCTCTTACCTAATCGTTTCGCCATTATTCCGTTCTCTCTTTACGGAAGAGGATTAGGGCCATTCAAAAGAAGAAAAAAAAGACAATTCAATTCTGACTTTTTTCCCTCAGAATTTCTGACTTTTTCCTCAGAATTCTGAGAATAAAGTCAGAATTGAATAGACTATTATTTTTATCTTTTTGAATGGCCCTAATCCTCTTCCGTATCTCTTTGAGAGAGGCGGGGTTAAGATTTTTTGCTGGGGGTTGCCAGATAGGGGCACAGACCCCAAAAGGGTGGAACATTGTCACGTTATATGCGTGTATGAAATAGTTACTAATAGTTAATAATGAAAAAACTTCATAATTAAGGAACATTTTATTACAAATGTCCAACTTTATTATCAAATACAAAATAACAAAAAATACACTTATATGAAAATACTCTCTGGTATTGTTCAGGGGGCCGGACCAAACGTGGAGGCGGACCCGTGGGCCGTAGTTTGGGGACCACTGGTATAGAGGATGATCTTTTATTTCCAGGTGGATCACCGAAATAAGTGGTGATATGTTTACGTAAGGCCGTCCTACGTTCTCTTCCTGTTAGCTATCTTTTTCTGCACATGCCTACTTTCAGCTGTATATCTGTGGTGAGCTACGGTTTCAGACAATCATTGAAGCTCACCTTTCTCACCTCTTTTTTTTAAAATGGCCGAGGGTCGAAAGAGGAAAAAGTGTCTATGAAGTGAGAAGAAAAGAAAGCCTTTAAAGAGGTAGATATATCCCAGAATGCTTTGCACAGACAGCTCTCCTCGCAAAGCATTATTGGATTTGCTGACAAAGCGGCCCTCTGTTGCCATGGGTAAAAGTGGCGACTAATAACAAAGATGACGCAGACACCACTCAGTGGAGGAGGAGTTACTTGACCAATGGAGCAAAAAGTAGTGATCATCTATCCAAAAGGTCAGTAAAATGAGTTTGTTATAAAAATCCACTACATAGTCCCCACTTTATATAGTGATTGAGGGATTTAGGGGTTAGGGCGGACGTTCTGACACAGTAAGCTTATATGAGCTATAAGAACAGCAATTTTTGTTTAACAGAGCGTGCATGGGAGGAAATGGGTTTGTGCATGCTCTGGCACGCGCATTGTTTTTCAAAGTGGAGTGCTCTTATAAAAAGTTTGCAAAAATCCTCTCCAATTCCTTTAAGTGTTGCGGCATGATTTGAACATCAGAGGGTCTGAATCTGGCATAGAGAACAAAGCGCATCAGGCATCACGAGCGCCAGACACTGGAGTTGGGAAATCTGAACTGCAGCTGGATGCTGAAGGTCAACCATTCAGTAAAACTGAATGCGCCTAATCTTGGAGATTACAGGCACTACATGCAAGCTGTGATCGCTTCTGCAGAGCTGTCAGCATCAAACCATGAAATATGAATAAAGACTACGGGTTACTTTGGCTCCCACAGCTGGAGATCACAGAGGGCGCCTATTTTGTGGTAGTAAATGTGTTCAGTTTAACTTTGAGTTGGATTAAAGGCGTACTGTGAATAAACCAATTGGTCGGAAACTAAATCTGGCAGATTAGTTTAGCCCATAATTTCTGATTGCACTATAAAGTCCAGCATGATGAACAAACAAAACGTACAGCAGATGTTTTGCAGTTTTACATTTTTATCTTCTTGAATTACTTTTAAGACAGATTAACAATCTTTGAGGATAATTCTTTAGATTGTGATTGTTTTTTAATTCTAGAAACACTCTGTAACTGTTTAAATTTCTAATTTCTTTTTGCTCAGATTGCCACTGAAAACACGGATGATTACAATGCAGATTGTTGCAGGGCCTCGGTTTGGAGTTATGTGTGCTGAAACCACATGGAACCAAACTCTAAAGAAAAAGGTTTAAAATCCCTTCAGAAAGCATGAAGCTAATGATCCGAACCACTTTGAGGAATTACAGGAAGGTTTGGCTGCTTGGAGGAAAAATGCAAATAAATGTGAGTCTTTCCAGTATAATGAGCATGCTTGTCCTCACCTTGTCGTACCAGCGGCGCAGACTGAGCTGTCCACACATGCAAATACTCGTAGAACAGTCTTCCTTACAAATGCAGTACTGTTAACCGCAGATGGAAGGAAAATGAAGAGAGGAAATTAGTTTTTTATCTCAGCTGTACTCTAAAAAACGTGATCAGATGACTTTAAACTCACCTGCAGGTGTGTGATGTTCCGGTCGATATTCAGGGGGGATGTGACGCAGTTTTCTGTGATGTATTTATAGTCATCTGGAAGGGGTTCGCTGTCCACAGTGTTGACACAAGGAATGGAAACCTGCTCTTGGCCTAAAGATATGTCACTGTGGACCGACACACACACAGAGGAGGAAGCATTTCAAACAAAGTTAACTGTAAAACACATAAAAAGCGAAATTTTAAATGCTTATAGCTGGGTTTCAGCTTTTTTTCCCCCCTAAAATGTGATTATTGCTCTAAAAGTCAGTTTTTTTCTTTCCTGCTGAGTGAACTGCATCATGATCCCAACCTGTGAAGGAGTTTCTCCTCATTCCGTCTGAGCCTGCCGTTTTTGGCGTCCCTCTCCCTCTTGTTGGCCTGCAAGGCTCCCCAGGCCTTGGAGTTGTGGCTGCAGCAGTCTGGAGGAGTTTCACCCTCACGGTTCTTCAGAAACACATTAGCTCCACGAGACAAGAACAGTCTGAGGAGAAAAAACACTGATTTTAAACGGCATAAAACAACCGTCCTGTTCTGTAACACCTTCACAATGTAAAGGGAAGCATCCTTGTATCCTCTGAAGCTGTAGTTATTTACTTGACACAATCCAGGCGGTTTTCCCGGGCAGCGATGTGCAGAGGAGAGTCTCCATGGATGTTGACAGCGTGAAGATCACAGTGGGCGTTCAGGAGCAGCTCAGAGATCTCAACGCTGCCAGAGAATGCTGCCCAGTGAAGGCAAATATTTTTCTCCTGGACACACACACAACAAAAACTTTAAAAATCCTCATTAAAGCAATGAGGGGACACTAGATGGACTAGTATTTACAAAGTTTGTAATTACAGGTCTAAAAGCAACATGTTTTTTGGATCTTATATCAGATCACTTTGAACCAGGGGGCAGTGTTGTGGTCAAGACCACCTAACCCGAGACCAAGACAAGACCAAAACCAGAGTGTACCGAGACCGAGACAGGACCAAGACTTTTAGGGTCCGAGACCAAGTCATGACCAAGACCAAGACCGAGGGAAGTCGAGACCGAGTCAAGACCAAGACAAGCGCCAGTATGTGACAATAAAATGTGAAACATGATCAAATCACAAAAATTGATCTAAAAGACCCACATTCACATAAAAACACCTAGATATTTAACACACAGAACTGGACTGGATTTGAATCCAAGCATCCAATAAAAAGAAGGATCTTAAAGAAACTGATAATATTCTGATGATTAGTGTTATTTCTACAGTTGTGGTCTTGACCGGTCTTGAAATAAAATGCCGAGTCCTCAGCGCCCGAGACCGAGACAAGACCGAGACCAAATGCGGTCAAGTCCGAGACGAGACCGAGACCATCAAAAAATGGTCTCGAGACCAAGACCGATCTCGAGTACTACAACACTGCCTCTTTAGAATCAATCCTATAGAGAAGCAAAGATGTTTCTGATCCGGTAAAGATCACATCTGTTTTCTTAGCTAACTGCATCATTTAGCTTAGTTAGCGCTCTGGGTCACATGATTCAGGGGATCCATCCCTCTCAAGTTACATAGGAGAGTTTTTGAGAAAGGCAGCCTGCATAGAGTCATTGTTATACACCAAGTGCTGAAAAATGACCTAAAGAAAAATGTATTTTAAGTAAAGCTAATAGTTGGGTATTAGCATTCCTTGGGACTGACCTTATCCCTGATGCTGATGTCAGCTCCTTTGGACAAAAGCAGCTTCACCTGGTCCACATGTTTGTACTCCGTGGCCCAGATCATGGCCGTCCAACCACCATCGTCCTGCAAAGATGAGAAATCAGCTAATTTCTTTGCCTACATGCATGCTTCAGAGAAAACATGTGATAACATAATCACAAACTTTAATATTTCTAAAAGCAGTTAATCAGGATCTGGATTGGATAAAAAGCCATAAAGAAATAAAACTGATATTATGTGTGAAAACATTCGGGGTTGGAAACATTACAATATTAAAGGGCCTATTTTACCAGCCTCGTGAGACCATCCTGATCTTGCGAGCTTTCAAGGTTTCACTCGCA